TTGATGACTCGGATACACGCGCGCATAGCGAGTTTTCATTCTCTTCCTGTAGTGGACTCGAATATGAATTTGCTATATTATGCGCCAACATTCCACAATGGAATTTCAGTTGAAACTATCTGCGCGCGCGAAAACTCCTCGAGTAGCCGTTGGAATGAAATTCAGCCATTTTAGCGCTAATATGCATTGTATTTGACGAACTTTCGGCATCTGCTATCTCGGCACAAGTAAACATAGTACAACTTACAAAAGTATTGCGAAGCGGCATAACCGTAGCGAGGTGAAAGTATGTCGCCAAAATTATTATTCTTACTTTGTGGAAATTAGCGATGCACCTGGTAATACGAGACGTACCCGTCGTTCGATTGGCATTCTCAAATCCTTTTTTAGCACGCGACCGAGTAGCGTGTAATAATTTTATAACAAGAACACTTCGCTTAGAACATGCGTATCTCTCGATAGCAAGGAACGCGTCGACCTTTAAAACACTACAGTGGTATATAACGCAGCCCCTAGAACTCACATTCCTCCCTGGGTCACCCGTAAACTCGCTCTTTTTCCGCATTTACAACGGCGGGTGTGTGCCTGTGCACGCGCATGATATCCGGGTGACTTTAACGAGCGTCGAAATGACGCGGATACCTACTGCTATACTTTTTTCTTCCCTTCCCCCCGTGCCCATGGCGAGTTTATACCCGCCGTACGAATTCGCGCGGAAGTTCAGCGATAACGTTACTCCCTTTCTTTTTTTTTTTGTTTCTCTGGTAGCGCGAGGCCGTTAAGCGATTATTTTTATGGTTCGCGCGATAGTTAACTCAGCTGTGTGTTCGCCAGTGCGAACTCACCAAGGGGTGACGAGCGCTTGGCGTACTCTTGTTGACGGGTTATGCGGATTATGAACGACCAGCGAGATGTTCACACGTTAACGAGTTGAACGGGTTATAACGCTGCTCTAAAAGATTCTGCTCGGACGAAAGTTATTTTTTTGTTCTGTTTGTTTTTTCCGTTAGTTTTGGTTAATTAGTTCGCCTGTGCATATTTTAGGGAAACGTAATCGTTCGAGTTTTCAAACTAATTTTCCTCTTGTTTAATTATTATATTTTATGAGAATTAAAAAAATCTGCAAAATTGTAAGTTCACTCCGACGTTCCAACAAAAGCGCATACATTCAATTTTCTTTTTATAACCCAATCCAAACAAAAGTATTCTGTTCTCATCCTGGCAACGGCTCAATATAGTTTCTATGCGACATATTCCCTACGCACACAAGATCCTCCATTTCATTACGATGGAACGTCGTTTCTTCGTGTATACTCTCGTAAATTTATTTACACCGTACATAAAGGCACAAGCAGTATCTCAAGCTTGCAGCACGAGAAAAATCCGGTGGCGGGCGGGCGAACGATACGTTTTAGCGGCCTCGCGAGAGCCGCCATCCATAGACGCGTAAAAGTGAAAAATAAAGGCCGAGATGTAGCGGTCGCCACTGCTGCACAGCTACTGACCGGTGAGTTACGAGCTGTGGCTTGCTCCCACCTTGGATTTTATTTATATTCCAAGGGAAATCAATGGAAGAATGGCCGTTCGTTAGCTTTCCTTTCTTCTTCTTTTTTTTCTTTTTTTGTTGTGGGTGAATCGCGACTTGTTAGATGTTATGTGTATCCCGATGAAATTTATCGGAAGTTTGAAGATGAAGAATCGTCATTTTTTTGTAGTAAGAGTGTAGCTCTTTCGAATCGGAGAACAAATTAATTGTGTTTATAAAGATTCTGTTGAAAAGTTATTTTAATTACAGTTCTAATTAAAGTACCAACAGAAAATTCGAATCCATTTTACCCGCACTAAAACTTTTGATATAAATAAACGGCATATCAAATTAAATTAAAAAGGATAGAGGAAAAAAGTTCTGACTGCGCCTGGACCGCAAAAGCCAAAAAACGTTTCCAATGCACTCATCTCATCTTTGGCGCGCCGACTGGCCTTTTTGTACAGACGCAGCGGGGGCGCGCTTTGCCATTTCACCGAGTTGCCGCCACATACACATTTTCAGGGTATGAATATACGCGGAGCGCATCTTTTGACGCCATAGAGTAGTATTGCGTGTTGCGAATTCCACAGGTTTTACGCGAATTACGATGCGCGCTCTACTGGGAAATCTGGAGTTGAAGCGAAGTTTCCTTGCGGCAATGATCAAACTTCAGTTTACGCAAGAATTTCATTTTTCAATATTAGAATGATTAATAGTTGCTTTATTCAATGCTCGATTTTTTGCATTTTTTCGACCAGTAACTTTTTCATTGTCAGATACTTCAAATGTTTTAATTATAAGTTGCGGTAAAATTTCATCATTTATTGGTCGAAGTTTTTAATTGTGCGTCAAGGTTTTCTTGGAAAATGAAAAGCAGGTTTAGAATAATATTATTGTTCTATTCGAAAATCAATGCAACTTAGATCGACGTATAATGGAGCTTAATTACCATTGAAATCGCACCAGCTATCGGGGCAAACTCGTTTGAATTCTGACACCATGCGCGTCAAGTCAAAAGCACGAGAAGACGAAGAGGCTAACGTATAAGCACAAGGCGACACGCATACATACACGCAGGCGCGCGCGGAGAGTAACAATTTAGCTCGGCACACGCTCTAATTACGGGCTTTAGGTTTAGAGTCGGTTGCTTGCTGCAGAAGCGCGCGTAGCACGGTTAGTCAGATCGCGTTTTCCCGCCGCTGATTGGATTTCCCTTTTGTCGCTATTGCTGCTGCCGTCTAAGTATATCGCGCGAGCGAGCGAAGAGGAGCACATAGGCTTTTGCTTTCTCTCCGCGAAAATACATCGGAGAGCCTCGCGCTACGTGCCATAATTTCGTGCGCTGCACAATCTCTCTCTCTCTCTCTCTCTCTCTCTCTCTCTCTCTCTCTCTCTCTCTCTCTCTCTCTCTCTCTCTCTCTCTCTCTCTCTCTCTCTCTCTCTCTCTCCTCACAAGCTAAGCTCGAAGTAGAGAGGTGAAGGTGCATTTATATATATGTGAGCTGTAGCTAAGAGCATCTCTACTCTCGACTGATCGTCAGTTTTACATACCCAAAGTTTCGCTGTCGCTTGCTTTGAGTTCTTTTGTGAACTATGATAATTATTGACGAGTCTTTTGAACATCAGATTTCACTGAGACCACAATGAAACAGAATATTAATTTCTTTTCCTCTTGTAGCCGTGGTTTGTTTAATATAATTTCCCAAGCGGATAATTAACTGTCGATACGAGAACGCAACAAGCTAAAAGCGTGTTGTTCGCTGAAGATGATTCAACGAACAAGTGTAGATATGTGGGCTAATTGCATGCAACGCAAAAGCATACGTTCAGCTATGAAGAACATCTCTGCGCCTTTGTGACCAAATATGCTTACATGATGTCGCGAGCGCTAAAGTACATCGTAAGACCTGTGTGCTTATTAGGAGAAAGGTCGAGGAAAGAAAGTAAAAGTTATTCGAGCCTACGATGTGTGTGTACATTAAGTTTATTTTAATGAACAGGGACGCTTCATACGGCAGTAATTTAAAGATGCTCCATGACCAAAATAAAATATGGCGTGGATTATATTAGTATTACATGCGTTACAATTGTGATAAAAACGTGATTACTTTTTATTTAAAAAATCATCAATCGTTGGATCTCAAGATATAAGCCTGTTTTTTTCATAGAATATGATTTCTAATATAACACTAAAAGAAATAAACGAAGAACGTTGGAATATCGATGTGCTTTGATTAGTTTTTGTTGTTAATTAAACTGACTTTACTTTATAAAATAAATATAGACTTTATAGAAAATTTAATACTTATTCAGAAATTAAATATTTGAGCTTTCGACGATATAGTATACGTGTTAACGAACTAAAACAGGCTCAACATGATTAAATGAAAATATGCAATTACTTATGCTGATAAACAAAACAAATACAATGGTAAAATTATTATCTTACAATAGTTTTCGGCAATTCTTTAATGTTAACTTCGTGTTCAGAACTCAGAAATATGACTATACATATAGGTATGTCATATTATATATTTATGAGATGTGAGGTTATTGCAGAAAACAATTTTGCGTGATAATAAATTGTGGTATATGTTGACTTCTGAATGTTTTTATTATATTTCTTTTGCACGTTATTACGTTCAGCAGTCGAATAGAGAGTGAAAGAATCAGTTAATATTAATTTTTCGACATTGCAGCATTGCATTTAAATCTGAATAATGAGTAATCTTAATTAAATCAAATTATATATGAAATTCATTGATAATAGTTGAAAACGAATCAGAAAACATCAAACTAACACATCTTATTTTTCTAAAATTTGTGTTACCATGTCGCACGTACATATTGATTGAATTTCTCGAACCGAGCTATAGTCACTCGAGCTATAGTCACTCGAGGGCGTTAATTTCAACAGACGCAAAATCAAAACTGACACTGCTGCATACAGCTCTCAAACTATCATTAGTGAGATGCGCAATCTTCCGGTGTGTGTATACACGTAGCATGAGAAAAACAGAGAGAGAGAGGGAGTCATACAGCGTTTCCCCTTGCCGTGGCACGGCAACGACAACGAGGCAGTAAAGTAGCAAGCCAACTTCCCCAGTGTAGCGAGGAAACGCGGCGGGCGTTATAATTATTTCACTCTCGCGAGCGCGAGTCTCTTTCTCTCTCTCTCCCACTCGCGTAATTGCTTTCTAATTAACCGCGGCACTACTGGCTCGACTTCAGTTTGACTTTTGAATGCGACAGGATCCTTTCTGCGAAGAGGGAAAAAAATTATTAGTGTCGGATGTGCTGCTGAACCCTTCTTAGCAGTTAGAGACGCATTAATTAATCATCCGAACGATGGGATTAAATTGATCGTTGTTCTCTTAATTAATTGGATTCTTTCAAGAGAAACATTTAATTAATCATTTGCACGTGATAAAAACCTCGCGGATAATTAATGTTTCGTTTCTTTTTGTTGCAGCTATATGTTTCACTCTGGCTGTCGTTATTGATGGTTGATGACTGATGCGAAACTAGAAATCATAGTTTTTTGAGGTAAGAATACGTTTGATCATTATTATTTTTGCGAGAAAGATAAACAAGTGTTTGCCAGAATCAATTGTATAATTTTATGATCAACCGAATCACTCGTATCATAGCGGCTCTCCGCAATGATCATCGAATTCGAAAGCAGCCAATTTCACTGCAATAATTCTTGAAACCATTTCAAAGCTATCGCGATAAAAAAAATAAAAAGAAAAAAAATAAGAGATCGAGAGCAGTAACAACAATCGTATACACCTTGCACAAGTCACTTGTTTCGTCGAAATCGCAATCATACTTTAACGCTTTACGAGCTTTGTAGAGTCGAAGTGTGTCATTGCCTGTGTAGATTCGCATTTGGCGATTATATATTTTGCCCGCAACAAATTTTCCGAGCCTCGCTCGCTCAATAATTGGCCCTCGGCAGGAATTTTCGTGACCAGATGGAAATCTCGTCGCGTCGTGAGAAGTCCGACGCGGATGCCAATTATCCGTCTCTCTCGCGGAACGATGCTATATGTTTTTTTTTACTTTTCTTTCATCGAAACCGAACGGCTTCTGGATGATCCTCATCTTCAAGGAATTGCAGGTTAGCGTGTCGAGGGAAAAACTTTGGCTTTTTTTTATCATTACACTCTCAGTAATAAACTTTAATCGATTTGTAATATTTTCAAAATGATAAAAATGCAGGCTCACCATTATTAGAGTTCGTTGTTCAAAATATGTTCTATCTTGTTTAGAAAACAATTTTCTATCTGGATATTGAAATTCCCCAAGTGAATAATTCGCCACGGGAGTACAGTCATTATTCACTTGAATCACTGAAATAAACGCAAACTCAATCAAATCATTCATCAAAAAGTGAAAACGAAGCGGTGACAATAAAAGAAAAAAAAATTAGAATTAAAGCTAGTGGGAGTTAGAAAGCTAGGGAGACGAAATCCAATAGAAACAAATGACAGATTGCGCGTCCGCAAAACACAGGCCCAGTGCGTATATTATAGACTTTCACGCGAACGGGCGACGCTACATGTGTCATCTTCGTTTTTTTTTCTCGTTACGAAGCATCATCTTCGTCCTCTTTACGCCTATTCGTTCAAATTTGCTACCGTTTGCGAAAACGGATTTGGAATATTCTTATACAAGGAGCGTTTCCTATTGAAAGTGGCAATTGTTGTAGTCGCAAGTATTGCTGAAAGAGGAGATCTCATGTTGCTTTGATAGTTTCTGGATGGAAAATAACGGTATCAAGCATCGTAAAGCCGATTGATCAAATTTACATGCTTTGAGTGTGTGCCTGTTTGGAATACATTACCGAGAATTTTGAACGATTCAAAGGTTTTTAAAACTAGGGCAGACTATTTGAATTGATCAAAATTATCCGTGGCAGTCGGTGCTCAGCACCCATCGAGTTCGGTCGTGTGTACGGGTGATTGACAACACAGTACAGGTGACGCACTTATAGTGATCGTCGCCGACGGGCGAGTGAGTGTGTGCTCAAGAGTACACGCTTTCTGTAAGGAAAGCGAAATAGTGTTCCTATTCTTTGCATTGCAATCATCTTTGTTGCAAGTGCAGCATAATGGCCTTCAACATCGAGAGCCCAGTTTCTACCTCAATTTCTACAAACAAAGTTACAGTCAACAGTGAATCGAACAACCCACTCGAATCTTACGCTAGAGTTACTGCTAATAAAAGTCGTCCAACAAAATACGAAGGAATAACCATTGACGCAATCGAAGGTCTCACCTATGATGATTACGTTGACGGTTTGTCAACAATACTTCATGAAAGTCATATAAGAGTTCTATCACATTACCATTCTAAAAAACTTCTAATTTTTCTATCAAGTAAAGAATTAGTTAATAAAGTGAAAAATAAATCATTTAAAATTAAAGATCATACTCTTACAATCAGATCATATGTAAACAACAATAAACGCGTAGTTATCTCAAACGTGTTGCCTTTCATACCGGATGAATTAATAGTTAAAACGCTAGAAGAAAAAAACATTAAAATAAAATCGCCGATAACCGACATCAAAGCTAGCTTTTCGAAGCCAAATAGAACACATATATTATCGCTCAGAAGACAGGTCTATATAAGAGAAGAAGACATAAACAGACTTCCAGAAAGCATACAAGTAAGCTTTGAGGATATAACATACAGACTTTTCCTCTCTACAGGTTCAACTCTATGCTTCATTTGTAAACAAACGGGTCACGTCGCGAAAATGTGTACGCAGATTGATTTAAGAGCTCAGATTCGTCCCAGTATAGAAAATACCGACAACTCATCAATACCAATCGTCACAGATATTATTAACAACTCGACCAGTAAACCCACAGATATACTGAGAGAGATAGAAAGTTCCAAATTATCTCTCAACGTACCGCCAAACGAAGTAAATAGCAACAAAAGAGCCCTGTCAGATACTGCCAGCTCCAAATCTCTAGATGGAACTGTTAGTGATTCAACCCAACAAATTAATGACGCCGATGGTTTTATTAAACCAAAAAAACTAATCAAAGTTGAAAAAAGACTTAAGAAGATACGTAAAATCACAGAAGAAAAAAGGCAAAAAACTTTAGAAAATCTGCAATTAGCCTTAAACCCGGCCGCTGAAATATTTACTAGTTCCAATAATTTGCCAATAGATTTTGCAACTTTTTGTAACTTCATTAAAAGTTACAATAATATAGCTGACCTGAAAGTAGAAGCAAAAAAAATAGTTAATGACATCTCAGTTTTACCCGCTATAATTGAAAAAGCATACGATTCAGTTTCTCACTCACCAACCAAAACTAGACTAACAAAAGTTAAAAATAAAATCAATCAAATTATAAATTCAACAGAACAACTTTCTAGTGAAATTTCAGAAACAGAAGAAGAAGATGAAGATATGTACATAGATCAAAAAGACAACTACGAACCTCAAACATCAGTACCTAAATCTTAACTCTAATAATGATCCAATACGCTAAAGACTTAAAAATACTCTTTTGGAACGCTCGAAGTATTTATAAACACACGTCTGAACTACCTAAAATACTTAACGACGAAGAAAACAAAATAGACATTTTTATATGCGTCGAATCATGGTTAAAAACACCACCAACTGACCAAACAATAGAAGAAGTACTCAAAATATCTGGTTTTAAAGCATATAATAAAGATAGAGAAGAAGAAAGAGGAGGTGGTATTCTTTTTCTTGTCAGAAACCACCTAACCGCAGACTTTATTCAAATTAACGATCCTAACGAGGATAAATACGAAATAGCTGGAATTCAAGTCCATAACACTACTCCAAAATTAGACATTTTAGCTGTTTACCGTTCACCTTCCGGTAATCAGTCTCTCTCACAGGAAGTATGGGATAACTTGGTTAATAACATCAGAGATGATTCATACTGTCTGTTCACTGGAGACTTCAACGTGCATCACCTATATTGGAACTGTGAACACAATGATGCCAACGGCTCACGTTTTCTGAACTCCATCCAAAAAAAAAATCTAATTATTCATAATACTGAATCTAAGAGTAGAATAAATCCCAGTACAGGTAAAAAATCGAATCTAGACTTAATTCTCTCCACTCTCAATCTTACAGATAAAATTGCTAATCTTAGAGTATATGACGAAACATACGGATCAGACCACTTCCCAATAATTTTCACTCTTAAGGTTAACAAAACTTTTTATGAAAAAAAATCATTTAAAATTAAAACTAAAAAAACTGATTGGAAAGGATTCTATAATTTATTAGAAGAAAACTATGAACAATTTTTTGAAAATTCTTTTTGCGATCAAACCGCTGTCGGTAAATACGAACTTTTTATTAATTTAATTAGTAAAGCTATCATATCTAATACTCCTCAAATGCCCAAAAACTTCAAAAACAAAAATCGCTCTAATCCAGTAAAATGGTGGGACGAAGATTGTAATAGAGCACGAAGAATACGAAAAGCTGCTTTTAAAAAATGGTGCTATACCAAAAAAGAAGAAGATTATATTAATTACAAAAAACAAAACGCTCTCGCTAAAAGAATTTTCAAACACAAAAAAAGAGAATGTTACAAAAACTTTGTAGAAAAAATTAACCTTACAACCAATAAAACATATGTCTGGAATACTATGAAAACCTTCAAAAATAAATATGTAAAAGTAAAATCTCCCAGCAATATTGACGACACAAATAGAGACAAAGTAGAAATAGCGTTAAACAAAATTAGTCCGCCATGGGCCGAAACAAATCCTGATTGGCTCCCTAAATGTGAGAAAAACGAGTTTTTCAGTACACCTTTCCAGTTTACAGAATTTAATCTAGCACTTGATTCTAGAGACAATAGTTCTTCTCCAGGCCTCGACGGAGTTGATTACGAAATTCTAAAAAAATTACCAATAAAATATAAACTCATACTACTAGATATCTTTAACGAAATATTTGCAAAAAGTGAATTCCCACCTGCTTGGAAAAACTGTTTTGTATCCTTTATCAAAAAACCAGATGGTGAAAGTTTTCGCCCAATCACCTTATCTTCCTGTACATGTAAACTTTTTGAAATAATCATAAAAAATAGACTGCAGTGGTGGTTAGAAAGCAATAACTTATTACCAGAGACCCAATCAGGATTTCGAAAAGGTCAATCATGCCATGATAATCTTACGCAGGTAACTCTAAATATTGAAGAAGGGTTTAAAAAGTATCAGCATTGTCTTGCTGCCTACATAGACATAACTAACGCATATGACAATGTCGTTGGAGAGATTTTACTTCAAATACTAGCAGACATAAAGTGTCCAATTCAGGTAATAAAACTAGCAAAATACCTTAATTACGAAAGGCTTATTTATACTAATCTAAACACAGATGTTCATAGAAAAGTTTATAAAGGCGTACCCCAAGGTGGACCCCTTAGTCCCCTCCTGTTCAATCTGTATATAGCCAAAATTACCAAAAATATTCCAAAGTCTGTTATTATTTCTAAATATGCAGACGATATTATGTTATT